TCTGAAGACAAAAGAAAGAAAGAATAGATAATTTCTGAGAAGGGAATAAAAGTAGAAAGTAAAAAAAAGAAAGATATTAGAAGTAAATAAAATAAGAAACAAAAAATTATATACTTATAATTATACTGACTTACTTCAACTAGTTCCAAAAGCTTTTGTTAATATCTTAACAAAAATTTATAAATTTGCTTGCAAGTCTTAGAGATATATGAATGCTTATAATAAAGGTTTGGAAGGTAGGATTGAGTAAGTTGTTAAAAAATACAAATCTCATCATCGTCTATCTGAAAATATTGAAAAACTTATAGATCTAAACACTTTAGAAATATAATATATATATATATATATATATATATATATATATATATATATATATATATTTTTTTTTTTTTTTTTTTTTTTTTTAATAACAGATAATATACTTATCTTTTTTAATATTTTGTCCGTTATAATAAAATAAAAAATACCAAAAATTCAAAGTAATATCAGTATGAAGTTGGTCGAATCGACTAAGTACGTATATACCGTTAAAAACGATACATCTATTTAAAATTTTAATTTTTAATTTTATTGGTCAATCAAAGATCACGAGAAAATTGAAACATTTCACGTGATTGGCGATTATAGATTTCCATAACCATATTTAATTGACTAGCCGACTTTGGTCAATTATTATATCGACCAACTAAAGTCGATTTTTGAGATCGGTCTTCAATGGCATTCATATTTTTTTTGCCAAATGCCCAGAGCATCACCTATCACGTGTGGTCCTGCGGATAGGAAATGAAAAAAAATTCCATGTCATTTCCTTATAAACAAGGTTCATGTATTTCAAATTGTCTTTGTGCTAATGTTAGTAAATATGTAAAGACCGGCAACGGTAGTCGATTTGTTTGACATTATACGTAATTTTAAATAATAGCTTCAGTAGTAGATAAGAATCCTTTGTATAAATATCGCGTGAGTACCTCCGCAACAGACAGATCAGTGAAAGACGGACCAAGTCTCACAGCGTGAAAAAAAGCATGTGCCCTTCCATGATTATTTATGATCCATTCGGCTTTAATTTTATAATTATTGGCTATATTATACCAATCTTGAGATGTCAGCATCAGGTTTATTGGATTTAACGTGTTTAAAAGTATTCATTTTAAAAATATTAATTTTAATATTATTCGGGATATTTCAAGATTCATAACTTCTAATAACGGGTGTATGACTAAGGTATTTAATAAGAAAGCTTCTTGAGACATTTTGAGTGCAACGGAGATTATATATTCGAAATATATTTCTTAAGTAGGTTATTGAGAAACATTGTACTATATTGTCACTATTATAATTAAGGTATTATCATCAAAGAACGCCTTCTTAGGCGACTTAAAATTAAAATCTCGTTTAACGTTATCCCCCCCTCCACTTACAGGTCTCCCCCAAAAAAATTAAAAATTAATAAAGTTAGAAAAAAAAAAAAATTCTGTTTAATCATCTTTAGGTTCAACTTCAATCTGATTTAGGTTCCGATGAACTTAAGTTTGATTTACTTGAACCTAGTTTAATTTTATTGTTTGTTTAATTTTTCCTTCCCCCATGCAAATTTTTTTAAAAAAATAACGTTAAATGAGGTTTTAATTTCAAGTCGCCTTAGTTATAAAGTTGTAAAATTTAAAGAAAAATGCATCATCTCCTAAACTTATTTAAGATATATTTAAATTTTCAGTGAATAAAGTACTTCTTACGTACTGTAAGTATATTAATGGGTTTATATTTATAGAATATCCGTGTCATGCTGATTTAGAGTTATTAAGCATCGATGGTGCTGTAAAGTACTAATGTTTATATAAATTACACTGCGAAAGTACGTACTCAAAATATTATATAATTATACTGTAAAGTACTGACAGAATCGCACTATTAAGTACTGAAATATTCAGAAATAAAGCAAATTAATAAATTATTTATTAGGGCATTAGCTTTGAAAGATATATTAGCAAGGCCTATATATAAAATTTTATTATCGACATTTTTAATTAGTGCTTAAACATTAATTTTGGATTTTTTTTCGTTTTTTTCTCTTTCTTTCTTCTTTCGCAGTTGAAAAGGGCGGGCCGATATACTCGGGAGAGTGTCACACGACCGTAACTAACCAATAACTACTCCTAAAACACTACACTATAAGTATTGATAGAGGCGTGGAAAGACTTGGTCCGAATAATTATCAGTTTTTGAATATCGGGAGTAGTTACTTTAAGTAGATATAATACTCTATTACTTTATATAATTTTATTTATAATTTTATAATTTTAACTATTTAACTATTCAAAGAAAAAGAAAAATAGTATAAAAACCCCTAATATAAATATTTTTATTAATCATATTTATCAAATTAGGTTTTTTTTGCCACTACTTAACATTTTTTAAATTAATTTTTTCTATATTTATTATATATAGTATACTGTATTAGTTTTTAATATTTTTATTTATATTCTTAATTTGGCTTTAATATTTAAATATTTTTGCTAAAACAAAAGATTTTTTTTTTTTTTTTATTAATATTATTTTGTTTTAAATATTTTAAATTAGTATAATAAAGTTTATAAATATTTGATTTATAAAATATTAATTATTAGTAAATATTATTTTTAATTTATATTTTATATCTAATACAGTATAAATTAAAATAGTTTTTAGAGTTTTTTGTTGTGAAAATTAAGTTAATAATAAGAATTTGATTTTAAAAACTTTTAAATCATGAATATTTGAAATGTATATATTGTGTATTGAAAAATAGATTAGCTATTTTAAATTTTATTATATAATTTAATACTTCTAAATAGCTTATAAATAGTTATTGTAGAGGTTATATCAATAAAAAATTTAAAAAAATATTATAAAATATTATAAAATATTATAAAATATTCAAAACCAACATGTTTTTTTTTCATAACTTTAAAGGGATCTCTAAGATATTAATATGATCTATAAACGGGTGATCTGAACAATAAATTTTAAATAATAAAGTGCGTACAGTACGTATGTACTATGAGCCTTTAATTTAAACTCTACTTTGATAATAATCACGGATTTGTATCACTTCACCTGCAATAAATTCACCGACAACCAATTCCTAGGCGAGTTCACTTCGTAGACAACTCATTTCTTACAAATTCCTCTAACCCTAATTCTAATGATAATAGTGCCGGTGAAATGAGCTGTCTGAAGTTAGCTTGTCTAGGAATTGATTGTCTACACGTCAGTGAATTGATTGTAGATGAAGTGTTGTCTATAAAATGAGCGTTAAATGGAACTAGAGTTAATACTTAAATCCGGTTTTACTATATAAAATTCGGATATAATAAATCCGGATTTACTACGTTATATCATATCATATGACATAGTAATATATCCGGATATATAAATCCGGATTTGAAGTATTAACTCTAACGCTAAGTGGATCTAATTTATCCGGATAATTAATTATCTGGATGTCAGGTCCAATATTAATCCCAATCAACTGAAAAAAAAAAAGCATACTAAAATTTTAATTATTCATATTAAAAACATTACCAATTTTTATTATAAGCCAACTTCAACATAAGTTACCACATTAATTTAGAGTACGTACTTGAATCGCAATTAGAACATATTACAAAATTTAAAAAATTGAACAGAAACGTGATCATCAATTTCCTAAAAATCACATACATATAATGCATGTATGCATAAAGCTACTTACATTTTTGATAAAAACCTTCTCCTAGATATAATTTAAAATTTGAAGTTATTATTGTTACCATAGAGTAAATAAATAAATTAAAAAAAAAAAAAAATGAAATGTACAAAAAATGTGATTATCGATAAAAAAAAAAAAAAAAAAATTGATAAATCAAATTTACAAAGTAGAAACCTTTTTTTAAATACCATATCCGTTCGTTCGTTATCGATCTAATTTTAACATTTAAAGTATCTCACTGAAAGTTTCTCTTGTGAACATCAAAAAAAAAATAAATAGAACCTTTTATAACCAATCAAATAACTTAATAATGATGCGACATAAAGTAATATGCGTGTAACTATTGAACGCGCATTCTATTACTCTTGTTTTGGACAAATAAAAAACAGCATATATCGATATCATTATTTTTGAAGCAAGAATCAAACAGGGAGACTTATAAAAGAACGTTTAAAAAAGAACAATCAATCAAACCTTCATTGGACATGATCATCCTTTATAAAGAATTGTTGTTAAAAGTTTACAAAAATCACTTTTTATTTAATGAAATTAATTATTTTTTAAAAAAAAGTATTAATTCGGGATCATACGAAAATAAAGATTAAAATAATAATTGAAACAAAATAATTAAATGATCTAGTTTCGTATAATAAAAACTCTTTAGGGATGATTCAAGGACAAATTAACAAACACTGATACCAGATTTAGAAAACTACAAATGATAAATAAAACAACTTTGATAATTGAGTTCCAAGATGAGCAATTAATCGATGATAAGCATAAAAACTGTAAACACAACATGGATAATCATTAACAAAATAAAATTCATTACTGATTACTGAAAAATTACACAATATGTACTGGTACTATCAGAATTATAGTAAATTGATAATAAGTTATTTTAATAATAAAACAATTTTTTTTTTTTTTAAAAAAAAAAATAAATAAATTTTCTATCAAATTTAGTTTTATTTTTAATTATCTCATGCAATTATAATTCAAGTTACAGTAATTATAATTGTCACCGCCAATTTCAAAACGTAGCATACATAATTTTTTTTTTTCAAGTTTTTCCATAATATAATAGAAGTAAGATATATTTTTTTTTACTCTTTCTAAAATTTACCAATGCATGTAATGATTCGTTACAGTATGCTATGCAGTTCTGTTCATAAATTTATCACATATGATTTTGAGGAGGGAAATACTGTAATTTGCGTGTTTTAATCTATTTTTGAAAAGGCTTACAGATAAAAAAAACGTCTTTACATGCATATGCGTAAGTACGTACAGTACTTACAGTAACTATCGGATCAATCGATTATTAAGCCAGTAAATCATGTTGAACAATTAGATCTTTACTATTTATAGTATTTATTCTTTGTATATCGATATACACAAAGGAAAATAGTTCCTCTTTCTCAATGAAAAATATTAGAAAATTGATTACCTCATAAAATGAGAAAAGAGATTTCTCATGACGCGTAAATTTTAAGGAATGTATCATATACTGCGGTGACTGAGATTGCCGCAGTCAAGGTTTACGTCGCGTAACATTTTCAGATTAGAATAGTAGATAGGCGTAGATTTAAATCGGATTACGAAATGTTACGCATGACGATAGTTAAATGGGTGATGGTAAATGATAGATTTCGCACCGAATAAGAGGAAAAAGCTTAATCAATTAGAAAAATACAAAAATAAAGAGTGTCTTTAACCTCATAAAATACTATGTTAAATATATTTATGATGTAAAAGTAATTTATTAAAATAATGAAATAATATTTGCATATATTTTTTAGATTTTCAGTTTTTACTTGACGCGTAACAGATCAACAGATAAATCGATCTGACACACATTTCTCAGATATCGAATATCAAATTTCAGTCTGGCGCAACTCAATTTTAAACCTACGCCCATTCAATCTCATCATTTTTTTTTTTTTTTTTATTTATTCAAAATATTTGAATACTTTATTTTTTTTTTATGCAAAGTTATTATTTTTATTCTAAAGTAAATTAATACTTTATTCTATTGTAGATTTTATACAGAGTCAAAATTTTGTCAATTTTTGAAGAAAAAAGGAGTTTATCTAAAACTCTTGCTTATTCTTGTTATCTTAATTAATCATGAAATAGCATACAAGCCATAAAAAAAAAAAAAAAGAAATGTAAAGAACAAAAAATTTTAAAACAAATGATTATGTACAATGCAAAAAAAGTTGCTCAATGAAAAAAAAAAAATTAAAATATGCACAAAAATTTACACTAAAAAAGAAAGTGTAAAAAACGAATGTTCAGTTTTGCCAAAGGAAAAGAAAAAAAAAAAAATTAGGTAAAAAGGAAAAGAAAAACAAAATAAAAAAATTACGAATAATAATAGATTTGTCAGTTATGTAGTTTCTAACTTTCAATGTAATTTGTGTAATTTGTAGTGTTTTTATGATTTTTAACTTTTAACATAATTTTCAAATATCTTCTAGCTAATAATAAAGATACAGATGGAGGTTTATTGTTATGTAAACGACGTTCTTGTTGATGAATTGTTGGACGATCTTCATAAAGTTTCACATTTTTATCTTTGATTTCATTATTAATGGCAGAAGAATTTTTAATAGCAATATATTCTGGTGTCTCTATTATTTCATTAGTTTGATTTATCGATAATGAATAATATTTAGATTTTTGTTTAATCATTACACGGTTGGCGGCGGTAGAATTTATCAACTTTACGGACATACTACGTTTTTGTTTGGTAGAAGCTAAATGAGAATGTCTTTTACTTGGAAACATGTTTATATTTTTTCGTTCAGAATTTCTATTAGGATTGAGTGCGGATGGAACTCGTGGACGATAACAATCGTTAGCCATATCCTTTGGAATTTCATCAAGTTCAGTAAATGAAGAAATTTCTGAGAATTTGTTGACAAGACGGTTTGATAAATCGAGTAAAGATGCGTTTGATTTTTTCAAAGTTGGCATTTTTGGTGTGTATTTTTTTGGTGCACTAAAATTTTAAAAAATAAAATAAAATAAATGAGTATATAAAATTCAAAAACATTTAATAAAAATAATCATATAATTAAGAGTACTTACGTTAGCTTTGGAGAACAATAATTTGTGTCAATAAGAGCCAAGATTCCACGACCAAGCATTATGCACCATTTACCAAAATCACGACTTCTATCGGTGGTAAACATTATGGTAGTTTGGGTACAAGTTGCGCAAAAGCAAACAATAGAGAATATGATAAAACCACAAAATGATATATAAAAAACGAGATTATTTAAGAGATAAAGCTCTTTGCTTGCTTTTTGTTGTGTCAAATATGACATGATGAAAAAAATGGGAATCTTAAAAACTTATATAAGAAAATTTTTTTGATATTTGATATATGGCTTATAGTACAAAAATGTATAAAATATGCATATACTATTATGTATATAAATATAAATCAGGTTTTTTAAACCCCGTGAATTTTTTTAACCAAACTTAAAAATTTGTTGGAAATTTTAAAATTTTTTTGGCTCTTTTGGGCTTCATATATATTATATTTTTCCCGCATGTGAATCCTGCAATTAAAATGCGAGGGTACGCCAAAGTTATAATAGAAAATATAAAAAATATATTAGAATATATAAAAAAATTTTGTGTTTCATCTACAACAATAGGGTATCAAAAAAACGTGACATTTTAGAAGTTCTAGTTAATGTAATGACGTTAGTTTTGATATTTGCTATTGTGTTATTTATAGTTGCTAATCTTACATATGAAAATCAATAAATCCGTTAACAATGCACATCTATTGTTAGTCGGGTTATACACAAATGATATACATGTCACATAAACTTATATGTAAATCTTTTAATATTACAAATATCAATACGTATTTAATAAAATTATATAATTTATATAAAACTAACACTTTGTTTTGTTCTTATGTCCGTTTTATGATTTCTGCTAAAACTATTAGCCTCAAAAAAGCGATCTATAAACCACCTGGTTCAAAAAGGTGTTGGAACTTTTTCGAATCAAGATTTTCGTATGCGACCCAACTTTTAATTCACGCAAAATGATTTAATTCACGTATATCAGATATGTAATTCGTGTTTTTTTTTAAATAAAATGTTCTAATTAAGATTAATTAGTCTTAAAAAAATTATTCATTATTTATTTTTGTAACTTATATTTTGATAAAATAAAATACAATATCTTGATAAAATAAAATACAATATCTTTCTGGTTAGCCTGCGCAGTAGCAATTCAAAATTTGACTATTGATATTACCAGATGTTATTACGGTAAATGTTTACCGAATATTACTGAATGTTACCCAATGTTACCCAAATGCTATGAATACACGATTACAATCCAATAATAATCAAGATTGTTGTCCCTTCCAACAAAAGCATATCAATCTCACTTATTCGTAACTATCTTCTGCAAGATTACTAAAAAAAAAGAAAGAATCCTATTATGTCCTTATAACTCCACAAATAAATATATACAAATTAGTCCATTATCTTTTCTTTTTTTTTTTTTTTCACACATTGAATTACATATGCTACCAGATCAAACACGAATTCAATTCGATTCTAAAGTCAAAGTTCTTTTTTCATGTACATACTTACAAAGAAAGATTTTTGATATCTAAGATATAATGCACTTTTTCACCTGACCAATGATTAACTAATTATCATTAAAGAAAAAAAAAAAGAAAAAAAAAACGCCAAACTACTTAAATTAATTTTTTGTTTCCATAAAACTTTTTTTTTTATCCTGTGTACGCGATCTTATTTTTGGCGGGAAGTTCTAATTATTATTTATAAAATCACATGCTCTTATAAGTTGTATCATGGAATTATAACATAACATTAATGATATATATCTTTTTTTTTCTCTTGTTCTATTATCATTGAATATTTTTTTTGTGATATGACTTTTGAAAATCACTTTTTATGTAACATTTAGATGTCCGATTTGTATGCTGATGTCGTGTGTATGCTGATATGGTTTATATCAGGAAAAAAAAAAACAAGGTTAAGAGTTAATAATTAATTAAGTTATTTGTGATTGACTAAAGTCAGTGGGGAAATAGTTGGAGAATCGTTCGGATATGTTAACGAATCTGTTTAAAGAATAGTATGTTGATTTTTTATTGTTTTCTGTTTAGTGGGGTAAAAATAATGAACTTGCGTATGTAGTACGTAGTTATTAACAAAAATTTGTAAGCATAACTGATAAGTTTAGCATAAATGTAAATGAATAATTCTCCCATTATAGTAATTTCTCTCTTCAAAGTCATTGGCTGTTTTAAGTAATTATTTTGTAAATTATAATGTATCTATTTAAACCTTATTCATAAAAGGTTTAGATCTGCTATATAAAAATGTGTATTTATACTAATATTATATATATTCTTAATCCAGTTATTTATTGGCATATTTATCCTATTAAAGCTTTATTGTGACCCTATATCGCTTATCAATTGCTTGTTCTACTCAATTTAATAATATTTGACATTCTAATGTACCACTGACCAAGGCTTATTCTTATTATATTTCCCTGTTCGACTTTTTCATTCACATATATATCGATATATGCGTATAATACGTTTTCCCGGTCAAATTATTGCCAGGAGTGCGTATTCCTCTAATTTTTGGCTAGGCTGAATTTACTAATTTAGTAATCATACGTTTGTCCTTTTTAACACGAGGTGATCGAATTTTTTCGGGTCTCGGCATCGGCATAAAAATCTATTGATTTTTTTTTTTTTTTTATGCTTTATTATGATTTATATTACTAATTTTAGACTTGACGTGCATGCCATGTTTTTATTTATTACATAGTTAAAAGTTTACATTGATCTGTTCTTTTTTATAAATTATTATTATTTTTAATATTGATTTTTTTATTTATGTGATTATTGTTCTAATTCATTGTTTAGCTAATCATTTTATTCATTTCTTAAAACCCTTTATTATAAGTTAATTATTCAGGTTATTCCGTTTTTAAATATTTGATTTAACTATTTAAAATTTCTCTATTAGATTTCGAATAATAACGGTTCAAAAAAGCTTGTTTATATTGTATGATCGCAATACTACTTACTGTTCAAAAACCTGAATTAATATCATTATAAAAACTTTAAAATACCCATTATTTTACAGGGTTCTATAATATAAAATTTTATACACAAGTAACAATTAATTAATGAAAATTTGTAGTTTGAACTTTGAACTTAGATACAAACTTTAAATTATATTCTCTTAACGTATTTTCTAGAAATATACTTTTATTGACTAAATAAGCAGTGATGATAACATTTATATGTTCAATTATTTTGACTTATAGGCAAGTTACAAATATTGTAGTTTAGTGTAAAACTAATTAAATAATCTAACATATATATAGCAGACTACTTAAATAGATAATAACTAAAGTTATATTTATAACTAGTTGTATATTTATCATATAATATTAAACAATAAAAGATTACTTATATATAACCTAGTATTTTAAATTAATAAAAATTTTTTAATATATATGTTTTTTTAATTTCAAAAAAAAAATTAATATAGTATATTTTGTATTTATAACAAAATTTAATTAAAAATTATAGATATTGTTAAATATCACAGGTTGTTATATTACAAGTTAATATGACTAATTAATTATATCACAAAATTTTGTGTAACAAAAATAAAAAATTTTAAATATCTTAAAATTTTATTATATAAACTAGTCTTAGATTTCTAATTAAAAGTTTTTAGTTCTTTTACTTTATACAATATGCTATCAGCAAGATTTTTATTAGTATAAATAATAAGAAATGATTATATATGTGAGAATACAATTAGCTATATATACAACTTTAGATTATCTAATTTAAGTTGTTTGTCTGAAGATTCTACACTAGCTGCTATATCTGAAATTTATTTAAAAATTCTCTATTTAAACTCTCTGGCTATATGCTATTCATATCTCACTATCTTTTATTATCTAAATTTATCTAACTTCATACTACTTCTCTTTTCAGAAAATATTAACAGAACTAATATATGTTTACAAACTTTATGATTCAAAGTCTAGATTCATTTTAAATACTCTTTTTACTAATTTTCTAATTGATAAGTGCTGTAATACTTAACTATACTATGCTATATTCTAATCTAGCTTGCATATACTCTTGTTCAATATTCATATAAACCTTGTTTCTGCTGTAGCTTTTTACTAAGTTAGTTATTTATGCTTCTAGATATCATATAAGATAGGCTTTTCTAAATCTAGTTAATCTAAGTTAGTATTGCTAAAAGTTATCTGTGCTTCTATATATCATATAAAACAGATCTTTTCAAATCTAGTTAGCTATTAAGCCAGATTAGTATTGTTATATAACCTCATATAATAGACTTATATGTATCTATTTTACTGATCTTTTTGTATACAGATTTTCTAACAGACTTATTTGCATTCTATTCACTAATCTTTTTATATACAGATTTCTTTTTCCAAATTAAATATTAACTGATATAATTATTGAAATTCATATTATTTTATCTAACTTAGAATTTTTACTATACAAGTTCTCTGTTCATAAATCTTATCAAGATTTATTTATATAATATTACATTTCTTCAAATACTCTGTCATACTTCTAATAACTAAATAATATTAGTGCAATATAGTTTATAAGATTACATTCTCAGAAATGAATAGGTTTACTATAAATTAAATACAAAAGGTCTAGATAATTATTCAATTCTATTGACAATAAGGCTTGAATTTCAGATCTCTTATATAGTAGTCTAGCAATCTAACTACTATACTAAGATTACTAGACCAAGTTTTTAGCTTTTAATTTTGTATATATATATGCTCTCTAACTCTAAATCTAATATTAATTCGAACTCTAATCCTAACTAATCTAAATTTTATTTTTTTTTTAAATATAAATTTGCAATAGCATAACCTGTTATATTTAACAAAATTCAAAATTATAATTATAAAATATATTAAATTTTATATATTTAATTTTATAATTTTTTAAATATTAACTTATTTAATTACTATAATAATATTTATATTTAATTTATATATTATAATATAAATTAGTAACTAAACTTAACAAATTTATAAATTTAAAAAAAGTTATTATTATTAGCTAAACTTAGTAACTAATTACTTAATTTAATAAGTT